TTCTGGCCCGGCCCAGGTGGATGCTGGCCCAGGGACTGTTTGCAGGTGTGCTGTGCTGGCCCTGCTGTCCATGGTACAGGTAACTGCACCTGCAGCTGCTTCTGGAGCCCCACTGCATGTCCTGTCTGGCCCATAAATCTCCAGACTCCACTCGCTTTGGAAAAGGACTCTGGGGAAACCTGTGAGATCCCCCCAACTGAAGACGAGTCTGGTGGCTGGGACCACGAGGACCCCAGAGTCTACTGGACCAGAACACGAGGATCCCGGTGTCTATTGGGTCAGATCATGAGGATTTTGGTATCTATTGGGCCACATCACAAGGACACTGGAGTCTACTGGACCAGACCATGAGGATTTTGGTATCTATTGGGCCACATCACAAGGACACTGGAGTCTACTGGACCAGACCATGAGGGCACTGGTATCTATTGGCTGGGACAGCGAGGATCTTGGTGTCTACTGGATCAGACCACAAGGACCCTGATGTCTATTGGACCAGACCATGAAGACCCCGGTGTCTATTGGACCAGACCATGAGGACCTTGGTGCCTATTGGGCCAGAACACGAGGACCCTGGAATCTATTGGACCAGACCACGAGGATCCCAGTATCTATTGGCTGGGACCATGAAGACCCCAGTATCTACTGGACCAGACCATGAGGACTCCAGTATCTATTGGACTAGACCACGAGGACCCTGGAATCTATTGGGCCAGACCATGAGGATCCCAGTGTCTACTGGACCAGACCATGAAGACCCTGGTGTCTATAGGACCAGACCACAGGGACCCCAGTGTCTATTGGACCAGACCATGAGGATCTTGGTATCTATTGGGCCAGACCACGAGGACCCAATGTCTATAGGACCAGACCATGAAGACCCCGGTATCTCCTGGACCAGACTATGAGGACCCTGGAATCTATTGGGCCAGACCATGAGGATTTTGGTATCTATTGAGCCAGATCACAAGGACACCGGAGGCTACTGGACCAGACCACGAGGACCCTGATGTCTCTTGGACCAGACCATGAAGACCCCAGTATCTACTGGACCAGACCATGAGGACCCTGGAATCTATTGGACCAGACCACGAGGATCTTGGTATTTATTGGGCCACATCACAAGGACCCTGATGTCTCTTGGACCAGACCATGAAGACCCCAGTATCTACTGGACCAGACCACGAGGACCCTGATGTCTGTTGGACCAGACCACAAGGACCCTGATATCTATTGGACCAGCCCACAGGAACATCCACCCCATCTTATCAGCAACCACCCCCTACCCCCCTTCCTCTCTCCTTCCTCCTTCCTTTAACCCCCCC